AGAAATGGTAAAGGATATTGTTAAGAGGAATGATACCTAAAGGGCCCTTAGAACTGCAAAAGGGAATGAAGAGTGCCAGAATTGGATTGAGACACAATGATCTGGAAAACAGAAAACATCCTCACAGCAGAAGTAGCAGAAGAGGGGAGAGATCATGTGGCAGTTTAACAGGGATGTTCTTTATAAGTTACATTCTTCAAAAATCTTCCCGTCCTACCAGATTTGAGTTTCATATGGGATTTAAGTAGTAGTTTAGCAGTAGAAGCTTTGTTTAAAAGCAAAAAAAAAAAAAAAACAAAAACAAAAACAAAAACAAAACCTAACAATTACTATTACTAGCTTAAACATAATCTTTTTCTTCATATTTCTCAAAGATGTATGAAATTACCACTGTGTGCTTAAGATGAGACCTACAAAAACAAGTTTTAAGTAACTGATAACACAATCTACAGTAAAAAGGGAACTACTGGGGCCGTTTCTGTATTACCAATTGATTATTTCTTAATTGATTACAAACCAGACTTACTGGTTTTCAATATCTACCAATCTAAAATGTCACTTGAATTCAGCCAAATCGGTTATAGGAGGTACAGGAGAAATCTATTTAAAAATATAAATAACGATGTAAATAAAAAGAATGTATAAACTACTGATCAAAAAAATGAGAAACTAACTCAAAATTACCACTTAATAGCAGGTTAACCAAGAATCCATATATTTCTCAAGTAATTGTGTTTCTACTATAACATGACAAAAAAATTAAGCATTTCTCTTACTTTAACAACTTTTTTCACATGGTGTTAAATATTTAGGCATGTAAGTTTCAAAAAAAAAGCCTCAGATGGTATGTTTTTATTTTAAATTGTTTATAAATTTGGAATATTGTATATGCAGTCTAAATGGTAGCCAGGAAGGCTCTCTGTCTCAACTTTATGTAACTGCTATTGAATATTAATATAGAAACTTATTTGTACAGTATTGATAGTTCATTGGCTTCAACTCTCTTTAGAGAAATGAGAGTAGGGGTGCCTGGGTGACTCAGTCAGTTAAACATCTGTCTTCAGCTCAAGTCATGATCTCCAGGTTTGTGAGTTTGAGCCCCAGGTGCAACCCTGTGCTGACAGCTCAGAGCCTGGAGCCTGCTTTGGATTCTGTATCTCCATTTCTGTCAGCCCCTCCACTTCCCTCTCTCAAAAATAAACATTAAAAACAATTAATAAAAAAAAAAAAGATATGAGAAAAAAGGCCAGCAAATGCCAGAGATGAGATTAAATATTCTTCTGTTCATATAGAGATAGAAAAAAATGAGACTATATTGAAGATGTGTTTATAAGTTTGAGTCAAATTTTAAATAAAAAATGAGAACTCTGTTGGGGCACCTGGGTGACTCAGTTGGTTAAGCGTCTGACTTCAGCTCACGTTACAGTCTCATGGTTCGGGCCATCAGCACAGGGCCTGGTTCAAATTCTCTGTCTCCCTTTCTCTCTGCCCATCCCCGGCTCATGCTCACTCTCTCGTTTTCTCTCAAAATAAACATTAAAAAAATGAGACCTCTCTTATTTGTTCAGTACTGTGAATCATATTCTTCATACTGTGTGGTGGCCATTTTACACTGTTTAGAAGAAACTAGGGGTCATTATTTTTTTATTTGCTTTAACAAAAGTAAAAACCAGATTTGGGAAATTCCAGCAGTATATGTGAGTACAGATGTTTTCCTTTTTTTTTTTTTTTAATTTTTATTTATTTCTAGGAGAGAGAAAGACAGCGTGAGCAGGGGAGGGTCAGAGAGAGAGAGGGAGTCACAGACTGAAACAGGCTCCAGGCTCTGAGCTGGCAGTCAGCACAGAGCCCGACGCGGGGCTCGAACCCAGGAACCACGAGATCATGACCCAAACGAAAGTCGGACACTTAACCGACTAAGCCACCCAGGCGCCCCGAGTACAGATGTTTTCTAATGAAAAGGGGGAATACATGCAACAAAAGCATTCCTGTAATCTCATATAGGTGGTTTTTCATGATTTCTCATCCTTAATGAATCTTTTATATATGGTTACATTGTAACTTGTATCAATACACACACACACACACACACACACATATATATATATATATAGTTTCTCTTTAACTTTTAAAAAATCATCTAATCCAGAAACCTAACTAACCAGATTATTATAAGTTAGTCAAATTCAAGGAGAAAAAGTTCCCAACATTAGAATCTATCTAAAAACTATGTGATTAGAGTTTACTGTTTAGATTTAGTGTTTCTGGGTACAAGTTTGACTTATTTTTTGCAAAATCAAATTTCCATATTCTTATTTTTATTATTAAAAAATTGTTTAGTGTTTTATTTCTGACAGAGAGAGAGGCAGCATGAGCAGGGGAGGGTCAGAGAGAGAGGGAGACACAGAATCCGAAGCAGGCTTCAGGCTCTGAGCTGTCAGCACAGAGCCCGATGTGGGACTCGAACCCATGAACCGTGAGACCATGACCCCAGCCAATGATGCTTAACTGACTGAGCCACCCAGATGCCCCTAAAATTTCCATATTCAAAGTGAAAAAGATTTACATGAGAGTTTGTGAACCAGTTAACTCATCCTGAACAAGAGTGCCAAGGTTAATGTGTGAAAGAACTGGAGATTTTGAATCTGTTAATACAGAAGAAATGAAATAATTTTGAATTCTTTCCAATTTAAAGGCTATAGAATTTTTTTCTTGCTAATAGAGGCCAGGGTGAATAAATTAATATTTATCTTTTAATCCATAATATGTGAATGAGATTTGGATCATAGAATTCTATCATGTATCTCACAGAGTAATCATAGAATCTTTTTCTTTTGAGCATCTTTCATTGCTTCATATTTATTTAAAAAGCTGTAACTTTCTTCATACTTTTCATCCTCATAAATAATAAGGATCTTCATGAAGAGAGAAAAATATCTATTTAAATATGCACATACATTATGCTATTTTTGAACTGTGTTAAAATAAGTAATACATTCATAACCATTGCTATCAATAGCATTTTTCCAAGACCATTTCATTTTTACAATTTTTAATTGTAAACTGTATATCCACAAATTTATGTTTGAAGAGAGATATATGTAAACTTTATCTTAAATAAAAACTAGGTTCATGTATAACCATGATAAAAATACAAATTAAATTTGAAAAACAAAAAGATTTATAAAACTCTTAAAAATTTTAAACTAACAATTATAAATCAATATTTTCTCTTCTGCAACATGGAAGAGCCAAACATTTCTATTTTACTTAGCATGCACTGACTTCATTGTAAAACTTGCTGTGTGACATATTGGTTTGTTTTCTAGTTGAGTCATTTTTGACACTTGACAGAGTGTTAATTGTTGAGAGAGTTTGTAGTACGTTTGAACCAACATCAGAAAAAGGAAGAAAATATTTAAAGGTTTTTAAAATAAGATTCTAAGTTAAAAGATGAAATAAAATACATTCATCCTACAATTTCTAAACAATACAAAGTCTCCCTTCCATCCTTTGTAATAGTACATGCAGTGAAAAACTAAGTCTTGAAAATGCAAATAGTGTATATTTTTAATTCAAAACTCAAGGTAGAAAACTTATTTAAAAAAATTTTTTTTAATGTTTTATTTATTTCTGAGAGAGAGAAAGGGAGAAGCGTGAGCAGGCGAGGGTCAGAGAGAGAGGGAGACACAGAATCTGAAACAGTCTCCAGGCTCTGAACTAGCTGTCAGCACAGAGCCCAACATGGGGCTTGAACCCACCAATGGTGAGATCATGACCTGAGCCAAAGTCGGATGCTCAACCGACTGAACCACCCAAGCAACCCAGAAAACTTACTTATAAGTGTATAAACTCAGTGATTATCCTATTCATTATTTAGTCCATCTTAGCTTAAAAATTTTAACAATATCAGGGCGCCTGGGTGGCTCAGTCGGTTAAGTGGCTAACTCCAGCTCAGGTCGTGATCTGCAGTTCCTGAGTTCGAACCTCGCATTGGGCTCTGTGCTGACAACTCAGAGCCTGGAGCCTGCTTCAGATTCTGTGTCTACTTCTCTCTCTGCCCTTCCCCTGCTCACGCTCTGTCTCTCTGTCTCTCAAAAATAAACATTTAAAAAAATTTTAACAATATGAAGAATGAAAGAGTAGACAGAACCTGAAATAAATAAATGCTCATATATAACTGTTGAAATCTGAGCTGTGCCCATTTCAGTTTTTGTTAACTTCTCTTTTTCACATCAATGTAAATTTATATAGACATATAATTAATGGAATAGTATTATATGTTCACAGTGAATAAAATGAAAAGCCATATATCTGTTTAACTTTAAGAGGTTATATTCATCAAACGAATGCTTTCCAATGCCCTTATTTTCTTTTTTTTAAATTTGGTCCCGGTGGCAATCTTTCTAGTTATTTTTTGCCCAAGTTATTCCTAAGGAAGATAGGCCACACAACTGAACACAAACGCATGCAGAATGCATCAGAGTTGTGGGATGCCACAAATATTCAGAGTTTACTGTGTTTCCTTTAACAATAGAAAGAGAACCTTTTCTTTATGCCTTGATAGTTGTGGGTGGGGCAGGGTAACATCTGAAAGAAGAAGCGCATACAAGGAACAGAAGCGAAAGATGCAAACGTGTAATCCATTGATGGGGAGGATGAGCATATTAGCTTTTCTCCTATGTTCCAGCTGTAATTCGCTGTAATAGTGAAAATTTTTCTTTATTTATATATGTGATTCATACCGTGATAATATTTACAGATTCCAAGTGACTTTTGACTAAAGTGGTAGTATTTTATGCTAATTTCTGGAATGGTATTTATGAAAAGAATTACATTACTTCCTACCAATATGTTGAATAAATCAGATATGTTGAATAAATTCAGATGCTTAATCTGAATGCACGTTCTGACCAGTTTACAGCAAGATTAATATATTGTAGAAATAATATAAATATTCTCTCTCTCTCCCCCTCCCTCCTTTTATTCCTCCATCTCAGATTTCTGGACCAGTGGAAAATTTTACTGGCTGCATAGAAGTTATAGAAATAAGTAACTGGAAATCTTTCATCCCATCCAAGGCAGTGAAGAAAATTCACATTGAAAATTGCAGGTAAAATCCATGAATGATTTTTCAAATACTTGTTTGAATAACCACACCAAAAGGTATCATTTCTATTTGAAATCATCTAATCAGGACTAGACTACATTTCCTTCATTTTGATGTTTTCTTTATATTGACATTCTATATTTTGTATAGACTATAGTATATTTAAGCTATATTCCAATTAAATTGGACCATTTATTTATAATTGGTTTCAGCTTTCTGCTACATCAGATACATCATGTCTACCAACAAATGATGTTAGTCTTGATCAGGAAGTATCATCTGTAAGAGTGTTTGAAATATAAGCATGCTGTCATGCATGTGATGTATTGTTCAGATTGCTAAAATGTTTCTTTTAAATGTCATTCTCAAAAAGCTGTCATTGTGCTTAAATTTCCACGATTAGTGGCATTTCTTTCAAATAACCTGCTTCTAGCTATAGAACTGTCTATATGTATGGGGGGGAGGGGTGGGGAGTGAAGTATCAAGATGGTACATTTGACACAATATTAGGCATTCATGCCATTGGTACAAATTGGTTAAAATTTTTTTTTGCCTGATGGGTAAGAAAACAGGATCATTTATGGAGCCCTGTGATGCACTGGAAAAGACACACCCAAGTGAGGTAGGATAGCATGATGAGGCAGGATGTTTGATCACAGAACAGCCTGTTTGACAACAGCAGAAACACATTGATTGACTCCACACAAAAAAATTGTGAATTATTGAAATCCTTCTATGTACTGTGGTCCAGAATGAACAGAGTCACACAGTGACTGTCCTTAAGGAGTTTATGGTGTAGTAGAGGAGATATTGATGAAATATTCAGATGAATATATAAATATGAAGTATGCTTTGGGGAAAAAAAACAGAAGGCTATGAGAACTCTACACATTTGAATATCAGCAAATTGGTTTCCTTCACGGTTTGGGTGGGGGGTAGTATATGTTCAAAAATTAAAGAAGTACTTTAGAAGGTAAAAGGCTAATCCATGCCCAGTGTTTCACCTTTAGTCTCTACATTTAAAATATTTTTGTGGTACCTAAAATACAGTGGTAGACAGAGTGCTTATTTTATTTGTTTTTACTCAAATGAAAACTTAATATTTTACATTATATATAATAGATGAGTTCTATCAATTTTAATATAAATAAAATACTCATGAACCTTATATATTTTACCATTTATTTTTAATTTTTAAAGTTGTCTCCACTTTTTATTGATTTGCAGTTAGCCATATTTCCTAACAATTAGTTAAACTCTCAGTTTCTTTGCTCTGTAGCTTCTCTGTTAAATATTATGATTTGCAACTCATATTTAAATGAACAATGAACTTACTAGGAAGTAAACCCATTGAAAAGGATATAATCATTTGCTAATTTATATGATCATCTCCTAATGTAGCAATTGATAAAATTTTCTATTTTTAACTTTATAAAAGTAAGACATACTTATTTGTAAGAATGAGTATTTAAATATATATATAATTATATATATATATATAATCACTATGTAATCTCAGTTATCTGCAAGCCTTAAGACTTTTCTTGATCTCTCTTATATAGAAGTCCTGTTTTATTGTCCTCCAGTGCCATTAATTTGACCTTCATTTTATAGTATTGGTTCTTTATATACTATGTATACCTTAATGCTGCTAATGATATTATCCCTCCCTTATAACATCCAGCACAACTGTCGACATACTAGAGACATTTTGGCTATAATTAGGGTTAGGGCAAGCAGAGACTATGAAATTTCTCTGAACATTTACTCTGCTTCTCTCACCAACCCCTACCAGCACTTTATTTCATTTATGATCACCTCTCCTAAGAGAGTCATTATACTGTATTGGCCTAGAAGCAGTTTTCAAAGCCTAATTCTGCAAATAATTGGCTGTATGACACCGAGTAAAGTTTAAATGTTCCCCATTCCTTTTCAGCGTTATCTCTGAAATCAGAAAAATAACCCTTATAATATTGTAAAAAAAAAAAAAAAAAAAGATAAAATTGGACTTTCTTCTTTGTTAAAAGCTCAGGGACATTGACCTTCATTGCCAAATTTGCTTCCATCTCCAGAAAATTTCATCTTCCAATCCCTCTTCCAGAATTGACTTCTCTCTCTTCCCGCCTCCCTCATTCACAAGTCTGGCTTCTTCTCAACATTTAGACCTCAACTTTACTATGTCCTCATTCAAGAGGCATTTCTAGACCACCCAAAATGAAATGACCTCCCCCTACCATGTCTTCTACTCACTATTTTCATATCTTTTATTCTTTATGAGGAATGATACTATTTTGAATATATTTATTTGTTTGTTTGTATGGTCTCTTTACTGCTATTTCCTCATGGCCTGGTTGGTAGAGGCTCAAAAATTTACTATATAATGTATCTTGTGATTTGACTATGATTATTTCTTCACAAAAATTTTAATATGATTATTTGTTTAGCTTTACTCTACAGAGTGATTCTCAAACTTTTGGGTCTATGCATTCTTAAAAAGAGTGCTGTATTGTTGACCACAAAGAGCCTTTTTTAAAAGAAAATTTTAATGTTTATCTTTGTGTCTGAGAGAGAGAGAGAGAGAGAGATACAGAGCATGAGTGGGAGAGGGGCAGAGAGAGAGGGAGACATAGAATCTGAAGCAGGCTCCAGGCTCTGAGTTGTCAGCATAGAGCCGATGTAGGGTTTGAACTCACAACTGCAAGATCATGACCTGAGCTGAAGTCAAATGCTTAACTGACTGAGCCACTCGCACCCTTCAAAGAGCCTTCTTTAATGTGGAATATATTTATTATTTACTATATTAGAAATGAAAACTAAGGAAGTTTAAATATATTTATTAGTTAACTCATAAGATAAAAAATATGTTTATTACATGTTTAGTATAAAAAACAAAATAGCATATGTTTTGAAAAATAAGTGTTTTATTAAAACATATAAAAATGACGAGAAGAGTAGCAGTGTTTCACATTTTTTGCAAATGTCTTTATTGTCTGGCTTAATGAAGGCACCTGGAAACTTAGAGGTGTTTCTGTTATCCATCTGTACAATATTTATTCTGCTGAAATAGTTGAAGACATTCTGCCCTCATACATATGTATTTAGAAATGATAGCAGTATTTTAATAACCTTTTTAGACAATTGGGAATACTCTTCTTTGTACCAAAACTTGTTAAGTAAAAGATTCTTAAAGGTTAGTTGCAATGTAGAAAGTGAACCTGATGATCAATGAACCTCTTATACTCTGTTACATTAAAATCCTTCTTTTTCACATTTGGAATGGATCTTTCACCCATGTACAATTTTGTAGCATCACTTGGAAAGTGTTTTGTCTTGAGTTATTCGGCTATCCTAAATGTCAACACATATCAATGTAAAATATCAAAAAGTCCTATCTGTAACTAATATATAATATTACCTAATAATATATATAATATATTATTTCCTATATATTTTTAATTGTCACCTACATTTTCTTTACCAGTGTTCTTAATTAGTAGATAGTATATACCTCAATCAGGAGTTGTCTTGGGTCCAGGGTACGAAAGACTGATCTTTCAGGCTCCATGGACAGATACCATATAGTATGACATCAAAAACCTAAATCAGCTATCCATCCCTAGGTTTTTGGTCTAGAGAAGCACAGATATATGATCTGATGACACTTGGAATAGCCTTATTAAAACTAGCAAAACATTGGAAATCAAGGAAGTAGATGTTTGAAGGGATGAATATGATGGAATTACTTGCAAGTCAATTGAAAGCAATGAAATACATGTATATGTATGTGTATGGATCTGAAAGCATACCATTTAGTGAGGAGAAAAGGATGGCTGTAGCAACAAACCATTTGTGTGCACTTTTGAAGTTTCATTATGTACAACTAAGTTATCCCTTATTACACATTTTCCTATTTCCCCATTTAATATTAAATACTCTAGATTATTTGTACCCTTTCTTTCTTAAATAATCATTATTTCTGAAGAAATGTGTTGTGTAGTGGGGAGAAGTATTCAAACAGAAGGAAATGATTCAGGGACAAAAAACAAATCATGAGAGATCATTTTCCACTTTTTAATTCTTTCTTCACAAATCATGTCAGCAGAACATCAGTATCATTAAGTCAAACGTTATTAACTTTCAAATAAGAAAGTATTTATCATGCCTTTATAAATTTGTGGGAACAGTCTAGAATTCTACTTTAAGCATATACTTGATTTAAATGTTTTATTAATAAAAGACTAAGGTATAAAGTTTGAACATTCTAGTAATATATCAGTGCTAATTTTTTTTACAAACTAAGCATCTATATCATTTACAAGTAGATAATATGAACCTCCAAAATAAAACTTAAAAGCAAATTTTGATTTCTCAGTAATGGGAATCCAAAGTTCATCATTTTATTCATTCAAATAATATAGTCAAATTAAATCTAAAATGAAACAAGACGTATCAGGTACATTACAATATTCTCTAGTTCTTTAGCACTTGTCTTATGACAATGTGCTGTGACATTGTTATACTCTTGGTGTCCTAGAGACGTGATTATGATTTACATGTGAGGAACAGATTATGGACAAAAAGGTGAAATTGTACTTTGATATTTATTTTACATTTGTAATTTGAGACTGAAGTAAGAGGGCTTTCTTCATGAAGCTGAATTTTTGACAGATGAAGAACTCTGATTTGAATATACCTTGACATGGCTACCTTTAGTGAGGGCGAGCTTAGTGTAATGTTCTTCAAAAAGCTAATTTGTGCCGTGAGTTGCTGATTCCCATGACGAGAACAATAGTATAGGGGAACTGCCTTCAGAAAACATAATTAGTGCCTACCTGGCTGTTCAATAATAGACCATACAGTAACCTACAACAACAATACGATTAAATAAATAATAAATATTTTATTTCTTTTTTTTCTTAAATAGTTTATTGTCAAGTTGGTTTCCATATAACACACAGTGCTCATCCCAGCAAGTGCCCCTCTTTGTGCCCATCACCTTCCTT